CCCGCCACGCCATGCCTGCTGCTGTCCCCCGTCCGTGGGGAGCCCGCCACGCCATGCCTGCTGCTGTCCCCCGTCCGTGGGGAGCCCGCCACGCCCTGTGCCGGCTGCGTGCTCGCCCTTTCCACCCCGCACCCCAGTCTCCAGCGTCCTTCTGTGCTCTGGCTAGGTTATCTGCAGCGGGGCCCCACGAAGCCCGGCCAGTGCCAGGCTGGGGGGCTGCCCAGCTCAGGGGTTTTCACGCCGAGGGCCCGCCCTCGGCGAGGAATGGAAAACTGGCTTCAAGGACACAGCCAGCTCCAAAACACAAGATGTCCTTTGCGAGCCAGGCCTGGGGATGCACACTACTACCCTAGCATCCAGAGGCAGAGGAAGGAGGATCACAAATGCAGCCCAGCCCGGGCGACCTAGCAACTTAATGAGGTCCTGTCTCAAAACAAGAGGAAGAGGGCCGGGGAGATGGCTCAGTGGAATAAGTGCTTTCCTGGCAGTGCAAGGGCCTCAGTTCAATCCCCCGTTCCGCAAAAAAAAAAAAAAAAAGGCCACCAGAGCCTTTGGGACACCAGCAGGCTAGAAACCCATTGCTGCCCAGCGGGGTCACTCGCCGAGGGTGCAGCCCAAGCACGGTGCCTGGAGCTCATCGCTCCTCCTGGTGCTCAGGAGTGGCTCAGCGGGGCAGGACACCTCTCTGCCCTCCTGCCCGCTCCCTTCCCCAGCCCTGCCAGGCCTCTGCTGTGCTTGTGCGGCAGCAGGCCACTGCGGTGTGTGCACACAGGGTCAGGAGGACCCAGCCCCCCAGCCCCTGGGAAGGGTCCCCAGGCTCATTTACCTCAAGGTCTCCTGCTGTCTCACCCAGGCTCCTCTGCAGCGGTCACTCTGGGAAGAAAATGCCACCCTCACTGGTGCCCACCATGGCCGCCTCCGGCTAACTTGGCTTGTCGCTTCCACGCATGGCAACATGCGCCCAACTGCCAGCAAGATGCAGCTTTTCTGTCCCAGGACTCTGCCCTTCGGTGGGTCTCCACCTCCGCTGCAGTCCACAGGGGCGGGCCCTACACACGGCTCACTCTGCACATTTTTTTTTAGCACAGGGACCTAAACCCAGGCCCTTCACACTGAGCTACATCCTCAGCCCATTTTTTTATTTTTTTTTATTTTGGGACAAGATCTTGGAAAGATGTTGCCATAGATGGGCTCAGACTTACAATCCTCTTGCCTCAGCCACGGGTGGTGGCCTGCCCGTGCTCACGGCCTCCCTGCGTTCTACCTGCTAACAGGAAAGTGTAAGAAGGCCTGAGGCACAAAGCGGTGGGAATGCAGCAGGCAGCAGCCCGAAGGAAACCGCCAGTGCAGGCGGCCGGGGAGGACACCACGCGCTCCTGACTGCCCGGTGAGACACACAGCCTTGAGGTGTTGGGAAGGTGACAGCTCACACCCAAGGCACCCGCGCGGTCTGTGTAGTCCTAGTCACCCCCAAGCTGGGTTGTTTTTCTTCATAGAAACGACCAGCTGGCCTTGGCGGAGGAAGTGCGGCTATGACATGCATGAAGAGGAGGCAAACATCCAGCCAGGCTCTGCCCAGGCAGCCGCCGGCCGGCCGCGTCTCCGCTCTGCTCCCTACACGCCGACCTTGGTGTCCCTCCTGGGAGCCAACTGTCCCACGGCCTACCACTGCTTCAGCTCTCAGCGCTTCACTGTGGCCATGGGGAATGGAGACGAAAGCCGCAGAGGGCCAGGCCCCAGCCCAGGAGAGCCAAAGACCCCAGGGAGGCTTCCTCAAGAACCTGAGTGGGCTTTGAGGAGGGCGGGTGGGGTGGGGGAGCGTGGAGGGGCAGAGGCCCTGACAGAGGCAGTGGGGGCACAGCGTGCCTGGGCACAGCGGTGCTGCCGCCGCTGGGGAAGGCCAATCCCTAGGCAAGCTATGCAGCGTTGAACCGGAGTGGCAGCACCGGGACGTCAGCTTATTAAGTTACTCTTGTGATACTCTAGCGCCAGACGATGGCGCGGGCTACAGGCCATGGGACTGCTTCAGAGCAGCGCAGGCTGGAGCCGACAGCCTGGACCTGGGGCCCTGTGCTCCACACGCTACGAGACCGCACTGCGGGGTGCAGGCCCACCCCTTCTCTCCAGGGGAAGACAGTCCTCGAGGGTACGTGCTGTGAGACCGCAAGGACATCAGGCTGCAGTCAGTTTGGGCTTGGAGAAGCTTGCTAAGTGTCAGCCCTGGCCGCCACACTTCCCTGCTCAGACAGGTTAGCCCCAAGCTATCCTGGCTTCTGTTCCTCAGGGATCTCGGGGGTCATTTAAAATCTAACACACTTCTCAGTGAAAGAACAGGGCACAGCTTGGCCCGAGCGACTGTTGAGGGACGCCAGGTAGGAGCAGAGGCGGTGGCCGTCCAGTCTGTGCATTCCGAATCTGCTGCTGGGTCAGCAAGCAGGCAGCAAACAGGAATCAGCGGTCCTTACCTTCCTGAGGCAGAGGGCGACGATGACAGCTATCAGCACCACGGACAGGGCTGCTAATGCCAGGATGATGTATAAGGAGGTGTAAGTGCACCCGGGAACCTGCTGTCTGAACTACAAAAAGAGGAAGAAGGATGTTGGTTAAACGGCAGAGAGGGGAAGCACCAACGCCAGCTATTGATCCGCCCTGCTTGGGGGGGCGGCAGCAGCCCTGGAAACTGCAGCAGGCGGGGGCCCCGCGTCTCCTCTGTGCCTGGAAACTGCGGCAGGCTGGGGCCCCGCGTCCCCTCTGTGCCTGGAAACTGCGGCAGGCTGGGGCCCCGCGTCCCCTCTGTGCTTGGAAACTGCGGCAGGCTGGGGCCCCGCGTCCCCTCTGGCGCGCAGGACTCTGCCGTCTGCGGGGTTGGTTCCCTCGTGCTCCCCAGCAGCGAAGCCGGCTCAGGGGCTCGGCCAAGGCTATGGGGCTGGGACGAGGGAGCGGCGGAGGCCTGGTTTCCCAGCTCTAGGACGGACGGACAGACGGACACTGCACACAGACCTCGCGGGTCCTCACCTTCCACTGCTCCTGCGGCCGCCTCTGCTGGCCCTGGGACCCTGTGTGCTCGCCCACGGAGGTGTCCGGTCCCCCCTGCTCCAGCTCCCTCTGGGCCTGTGACACCTTGGCTTCCTGCTGTTCCCTGAGAAGCGTCAGCAGGCGGTGCGTCCTGGCCAAGAGCTGGGCACAGTTCCGGGGCAGGGGGGGCTGCATGCAGTCCGATTTCCAAGTGCTGATGACGTTAGAAACGAGCCTTCTCGTGTCATCGTCGGGGATGATCAGCTGCAGCCGCTGGTTCAGCTGCATCTCCGAGGAGGCAAAGTCCTGGGGCGGAGCGTCGGTGCCCATGTCGGTGCCCGCGGCCGGGTCCGCAGCAGACGCGCGCAGCTCTCCCGGCACTGGCGGGACGTCGATGAGGCTCCTGAGCACCGAGAACGGAAGCCTCCTCACCGGGCTCCGGCCTCTGAGTGTGCTTCCCTTGGTCAGCTGCGCACCTGGGGTGGCCTGGGCTGCCACCCCGGCCCCTGGAGACAGAGTTCCGGCAGCCAGGAGACTCTCCCGGGCGCGCAGGGCAGGTGCCGCCGCCTTCCTTCGCAGCACTCGGTCCTGCGCACGCATGAGGACCCACACGCCGGGGCCCAGGTCTCCCCGACCTGCTCTCACCGCACGCGGGGCGTTGGCAGAGCCGGAGGACGGCGGCCTTCCTGGCCAGGGACCGGACAGGGAGGCGGCTGCCTGCCGTCCCGCTGCGTGATTTCCGGCCCGGTGCCCTGGCCTGGGCGCCCCGGGGCCGCTGCTCCAGCTCCGAGGCGCTGGGGCCCCCGAGGCTGCTGCGAGGGCCCGGGCGGCCCGCCGGGGCCTGACCTGCCGCGTCCTCGGGTCCCCGAGCAGCCTTTTCCGCCTGCGCTTCGGGCCCCCGAGGGCCCCGTCCGCCGCCCGCGGCCTCCTCCTTCCGCGCCGACCCTGCGCTGGAGCCCGTGCCAGGGTGTGGGGCTGCAGTCTGGGGCCCAAAGGGCCAGGCCGCCTGAGCAAGACAGTTTCCTCTTCCTGCTTGACCTCTTTGATTTTTTTCTGAATTTCTGCATCTAACCAATTTCGGAGAAAATACAGCTTTTTCAATCTATTTTTGTAAATCAAATTGTTGGATTCAGGTATAAAGGACTTCCTTATATTCTTCTTTAAAGAAGGCAGGGAATGTTTCCTATCTTGCACATTTTCAAAAAGCAGCTGAATGAAGGGCAGTAGTGTGGACTCCACAGCGCCCGGGTCCCCCTCGGACAAGTAGGGCAGTATGTAGCTGAGCGCGCTGATCACGTCGCTCTCGTCGTGGAAGTCGAGCTGCTGGTTGGCCAAGGCCAGCCAGCCGCCGCCACTCTGCTGGGACGACGGCCTCTCCGGCTCGATGGTCAGCTCGGCGCTGGTGGTCTTCTTCCGGGCCTGGAACGCCTTCATGAACGTCCCTTCCACGTTCCCCATGGCTGCTGCTTCAACTGCTAGAAAAGGAGAGACGGCTTTCAGTCAGGGGACACCTGCACCGACCGGCCACATAAAACAGCGGTCACTCGGCGGGCAACAGAGCCAGCCCAGAGCGAGCCCTGCGAGAGGAAGCGCTCAGAGGGCGGCTCGCACCACGGGCCCTCTCGCCGCCCACCCCGCCTCGCACAGCGCCTGCAGGTCCCCAGGGAAGACCAAAGAGCCCCGACGGCGATGGAGAGCTCAGCGGCTGCGCAGCAGTGCAGTGGGCTCCTCGGGTGCGCCAGCTGCGGTGGCCGCAGGAGGCTTCCGCCACCTCCTCCTGTGTCCTGTTCTCGCTGCCAGCACAGCTCCTCAGGGCAGCGGGTCACACGCGGAAGCCGAGGTCCCTTCTGCGCACAGGTCCCCATCTGGACACATCCTCCCCCACGTATCCCGGCCCCAAACACAAGCTCCTCACAGGAAAATACAGTGTGTCTGTCCTGATTTAATCTTAAATTTGGGCAGGCATCTGCGGTACAGATTAAGAGATTTTTAATTTCCTTTCCCCCGCCCCAAACTCAGGACCTCGCACTTGCCAGGCAGACGCTTGTGCTGCTGAGTTACATCCTGGATCCTGATTTGCCAGTTTTGCGCCTGCGTGGAACAATGTGGAATAAATCTACAAAACTGCAGTGCTTTGTAGACAAACATTACTTTGTCCTGAAATGTACAAGAGGAAAAGCTGCTCCTACAGATACCTGCCTGCTGCCTTTCCTGTTTACCATTTGCCCTCTTCTCAGGTGATAGGTTCCAGCCTGAGTACAAACTGCTAAACTATTATGGCCCTGATCCAACAGGCTGAATCCCACAGACAGCAGCTTATCTTCCCAGTGACCACCTGCACGCGTCCCCCAGCCCCGGTTTCTCACTTTGAGGCAAAGTGTGAGCATTCTTCCCTAGTCATGCCTCCCCTCCCTTGGCAATCTGCAGGGCAGAGGCCCAAAGCCCAGCAGAGGCCCAGAGCCCGGCAGAGCACCGGAGCCCGGCAGAGGCCCGGAGCCCGGCAGAGCACCGGAGCCCGGCAGAGG